AATATTCAGCAACCATGACATACTCTTAAGAATGAATGTGTTTCTTATTTCAAAACTGCTCTGTCTTATTGAGGCTGGTATTCATCCACCTCTCAGAGCAAAAATCAAAGAAGTGATATCAATGGATGATCAAATACATAAATGGAGAGAGAGAGAGAAGTTATATCATAAGGTTTATCGTTTTGCTTCAAATATTCTAAAGAAAATGACTCAGTTGGAGGATTTCGTCATGAGCTGACATCAGTTAGTGAAAAATTAGGAAAACCTTAGAGTAATACCCCATTTGAGCAGTTAACCTGACCAGTAGGGTACAGCAGGTTGAAGGTGAGGCACTAACTCATCGAAGAAGACATTGCGAAGGCGCTATGTCAAGAATTGGCGGAAGGTGGAATTCATGGGCCAGCCACTGGGTTGTGTCCCGGTGACTGAATGACATACCCGCTTGTCTTGTAACCAGAAAGTCCTGGATTCGAACTTTAGAGAAGGATGCGTATTGATGAAGAGTCACGGAGTAGGACGAAACAGCTGTCCAGTATTCCCTGTTTATTTTCCAGTGGTTCTCTAAATAATGTCAGCTCATGATGAAATCCTCCAACCAATCAAGCAACATCTCTACAAAACTAATACTTGAAAACGATTTCGACTTGTAGTTGAAAAAGGTATGTGTTGTTAGACAGCTCATAGCATCGTTTAATGACTGATATCAATTGTAAAAATCGATGAAAATCTTAAGTCATGTTTGTTAAGGATGAAAAAAATGACTTTCTTTAATTTTTCGTTGGATATGATCCCACATGCTGAGACGAAGAGGATGAAGTTGTCAAGTGTACGTTTTGTTCTTGGTGGGGTCCATTAGAAATGTATGTTTGAGAGTTTGGGAGAAAACTTGAGTGGTCAAAAATGAGTAACCCAGGACTCTAGTCTACCTGGACTTCGTTCACAGAGCAATTAGCTTACTCTAGACCCTTTTAATGAAAGCATCACACGACTAAAATCAATCTAATGAATGTGACTACACGAGAAAGCTGAGGTGATTCTTTAACAATAGCTCTGAAAGTTCGAGCCAAATTTTTCAGTGTAAATTCTAACATGAGAGTTAAAAAATTTTTTATCAAAATTTGAGAATATCAAAGGGTACTTAATTATTCTCCATTAATAATTTATAAATACACACTATTCTAGTTCATAAACGTATTTAGGAAACGAAAATGAGTTATCTGCCAATCCGATTAATCATAATTAAATTTGAAATATGTTTGAAAATACCAAGTTTTATTATTCTAACATTTGGAATTATTTGTCAATCATTTGTTTCCATCTTCAATTGTTCTACTGTGCCAAATAACTACAGAAAAGTGCTTTAAGGCATACAAATCAACGATTGTAGACACTTACAAAAATACCTCTCAATGGTGCACCACTTTTATGCTTTTAGTATTGATGTTATCGGCTGTGTTAAACTAAGCACAAGTTGATCTTCATAAACAGTTACTCAGTAATCCCATACTTTAGTTTAACTCTGTCATAATAACCTCATTTAATCTTACACACTTGTGGTTTTATATACCTGATCTCAACAAACAAATAAATAAATCAACTGTATTGTTTTCTGGGAGAAGTTAAGCATTAGCGTCCTAGGAGATATGTGGTGAGAGCAGGCCGTGAGAAAATATGAGCAAGGCTGATTCAACAACCAATCACGGCAAAGTTAACGTGGCAAAATATGATTCGCAGATAGAGAACTCTATTTGTCGAGGAATCCCGAAACAACCAATCAGAAGCCTGCGTTTGTCTGCCTAACTTCTGATAAACAACCAATCAGATAACTGCGCTTGTCTACTTGCATAAGCTATAATAATGTATGTGAAATATGTATAAATACGTGTTGATTTTCATAATAAAACGATCTGTTGCCTGGCCCTTGTCTTCTGTTGTTACAGATAGAATGCCCCAATGATCTTGAACGCATGCTAGTCGTTGACTAACGGCATCCATCATTATCATAGCTGTAATATCAACACCATTCAACAACTAAGTAGTTAATTCCACCCAGATCATCTTTTTTAATATGTATTGTTTGGACAATGTGTTAATAGCTCGTTGGGGTTAAGATTAGGGTTAAGGTGAGTATTTGGGTTAGGCTTAGGATTAGGGTCATAATTAGCAGTGGGGTTAGGTTGACGGTAAGGATAAAGGTTAGGGGTCACGCCTACGGATAGATTTAGAGTTGCTTTTATTTATTTCAATTTGTTTTATTATCCACATTCTCCTGGTGAGTAGTCGTCGATCCGCTTACTGGAAATCATAATAATTCAACCGAAAGCTTTAGGGGAAGACTGCAGATGAGGATATGAGAAATAAAGGATTCACAAAAACAACTTGTCTTCGGTCACCTCGGTGAAAACAAGTACAGAAACTAGCCTAACTGAGCAACCGCTATTATGCATTATAACTTGGACGTATTCTTTAGTCATGTCAGAGAAAGATATCTTGTTTAATGTGTTTTCATGCATTTTCATGTAAATAAACATCATTTTTTTGTGGGTAAGTTCCTCATTTTTATGATTGGTAGGCTTAAGGTCACTTGCGCGTTCGCAACCCTTGGGACATTATTGTTGAACTTTGCTGTCTCCTGTAAAAATAAAAACTTATTTTTTCAGTTTGATCACGGATTGATATCAGTTAGAGAACAACTGAAAACCAACACTGGAGTCCTGGACAGCAAGCTGTTTCATGCTAGTTTGAGAATCATCCGAAGTACGCACCCACCACCACGGTTCGAACCCAGGGCCTTTGGGTTACAAGGCACTCTGGCTCGTAGACCATTCACAGCCACTGGGACCCGGTTCAATGGCCAGCCATTGAACTCTAACTTCTACCAATTCGAGATTTCAGCTCGACCACCAACTAACTGATATCAATCCGTGGGCAGACTTGAAAAAACAAATCTAATCCTTACACAACAACTCTCGAAAATAAAACTTATTGTTATGTATGCATGTGATAAATATCAGCATATTTAAGTTGTTGTTTTAGTTTAGATAACTGTTACATTACACTTTTGTTTGTCTGCATAGTTCTAGGGGAAACAAGTAATAATAATAATATTAGTACTAGTAGTGGTATGATTTTTTATTGATATTTTGCATATGGAACTGGGTAAATAAAATATGTTTACGAGCAAGTAAACAGCATGACAATGCAATGCAACGCAATGTGTGAAATGGCATACAATTTATGCTGCAGAGAAATTCCACTTATGTCTATTGTCTCTGGTTTGCATTCACAATTACAATCACAAAAAAAGTTAAACAAACACATAAATGATTCCAGGTGTAAAACTCTGTGTTATATTATGCCTTTGATGGGATGGAAACATGTGTGTGCGTATAGGTGTGTGCGTTGGTGCGTGTTTGTTCAAGTGAATTCAAGGTCTAATATGCATATGGTAAGCCTATCTCTTCTAATTATAGTGGATAAATTATTATTATTATTGTTCCCTTGGGATCCTAGTGGAACATAAGGCTTCAACTGCACATCTCCACTTGCCACTTCTGTCTTCTGCTGCTGTACTTTTCACCTGCATCCATGTTAGTAAGTCCATACTGTTTCACAACTTCTCTTCACATAATCTCCTCCATGTCACTCACCCTTGCACTGACGTCCCACTCCCCGCTTCCCTTTCCGGCCTGGTTCCACTCGAGCAATGGCCGGACTCGCGCGCGATGTCACCCAGTGGCCTCCTCAGCCACGAGTGTCCAATCCATCTCCACTTTCTCCTGCGTATTTGTTGGTTGGCGATTGGTTTTTGCTTTGTTTGTTCCCAGCCATAGTTTCTTGTTGGTGATTCTTTCCGGCCCGGCCATCTGATCTTCAGTATAGATCCAGCGAAGACAGTTGTTGGTTGATGAAGGTCTGCAACGGGCTGTTGGAAATATTCTTTGTGACCCACCCGCCAAGTTTCTGATCCGTATAGAAGAACTGACTGACTTGACGCTGTTTGTATTGAAAATCCTACCGAATTTTGTTGTTGATGCTGAGTGACGAGGATTTCCAGATTGATTTCAGGTTGATGTCTTTCTCTCCTTTCTGATTCTCGATTTGACATCCTCGTCCGTTCCCACTGCCTGTAGTTGAGACAATGCTCCCCAGATAAGTGAGTGAATGAAGTGACCTCTTTCAAATCCCTCCTGTTGATGGTGACTGGCGTTGGATGTTGCTGCTGTTGCTGTTGTTGTTGGTTGGTTGTTTTCATAAGTTTCGTCTTGTTGATGTTCACCTGGAGTCCTGTCTTCTCTGGCTGCTTCTTCGATCAGTTTGTCGGTCGGTTTTTGCTTGTAAGTCTTCGATTTTGTGTGACATCAAGCATAAATCATCCACGCGTGAAATCCAGGTCTTCTAGGTTCTTCACGTCGGTCAGTCCATGATATCCCTGTCTTCTCGTTTCACACCCACTGTCTGACGCATAATCCAGTCCACATCGAATTATTTTCTTTAGTTGGTTTGTAAGAATTAGATTCGTTTTTAGCAGTTGGTCATGGATTGATATCAGTTAGAGAACCGCTGAAAACCAGCCATTGGGACCCGATTCAATAGCCAGCCAGCACATGAATTCTAACTTCTACCAGTTCGTGACTTTAGCGCGATCGGCGGGGCATCCATCCTCTCACTTGACTGGATGGATGTCGCACTAAATCACGAGTTGGTGGAAGATAGAATTCATGTACTAAACACTGAATCGGGTCCCAGTATCTGTGAATGGTATACGAGCTTGCCTTTTAACTATAAGGTCCTGAGTTCGAATCCTGGGAGTGGGTGTGTACTGGGATGAAACAGCTTGCTGTGCAGTACTCCAATCCTGGTGATTTCAATGGTTCTCTAACTCATATCAATCCGTGATCAACTCGTAAAAGCATCAAATTATCATTTAAAAAGATATATGCATGTAGAAACAATTCACTGAAACAGTGAACATTGAACAAAGCATAAAGCAAAAGCAATTCATAATTGAACTTTTTATATTTATTTACAAGAAAATTTATTTCACTTGTAATTTTTATTCTGGTGTAGAGAAGAAAAAAAAGGGGGAAAAAAGTAAAAGAACAAAATAGAACAAACAAAAATTGACCCATAAAAGTTTAATCACATGTTCAATTAGCAGTGATAATATATAACCGAAGAAGAAAATGTTATTCAGTGTAAATAAGATTGAATAAATGAAAATTAAAACAAACAAATTCATGCCAATAGTAGCAAAAAGAGAAAATGAAGGGGGGAAGGGGGGCGATTCAAATCTAAGATGATCGTCTATTATCGTGTTTAGATTTGTTCGTTTCGATTTCATCTTCAATGATGCATACTTCTTCCTGAAATATAGAAAGTTAACATAAAATAAAACGGGACTGATGAGAGAACTTGATAAAAAAAGGGAAAAGTTTACCGTTTTGTTTTCTGTAATAGTGTATAAGACTAAGGTTTAGTCACGGTGAAGTATGTTCTTGGTTTTGAACTCTTCTTCAGTGTCTACCCATCACAGGGGTTTGAACCCAGGAGCTTTCGGTTACAAGACGGGTTCATAGACCATTCAACTATTCAACGGCACATGAATTCCAAATTCCGCCAATTCGCTGAATAAAGTAATGAAAAGAAAGTTGTTACTGTCGGGAAGAAGTCTGTGCTTATCCATTTTACCTCCAAATGGAATGACGAATCACACCATATAATCAGAAGACTGAGTGTTTTCTTTGCTACAACTGACTCGGCAACGAAACTCGTTCATGCTTACAGCAATATTCGTGCTCATTATCAATCAAACGTTAACAGGCACCTATTCAATTTTATGTTCCGGAACGACTTTATTGGCAGGATATAAAGATGGTCATCCATTCTCATTTTGGAACATATTCCGAAAACCTGAGACTAAAAGATACCCAGTCTCTTGCCATAACCATTAGTTGTTATCTCATCGATTCGGGACACAAAGTGGATTTACAGACCTACATTTATCATTATCTATCAACATACAAAGAAATCGAACTGTACTTTGATTTGCTGAATCTATCGCCGTCAGACAACTCAAACGAAACTTGTGTGTGTGTGTGTAAGAAGAAACTGGCATTAGTCTGACTTTATCCTGATCACAATTTTTCAGATCCGCTGACCTTAAATCCCTAAATGATTTCGTATTACTTTTGGATGTTTATTTGTATACTGTTGAGTAATCTATTTTGTGTTAATGGTCAATTAGTGTTTTTGTTGTTTGAGCCAACTATCAAAGACTTCTCGATTATCCTTGCAAACTTATGACAAATCGCTACATTCTTTTCGTGTTACTTGTATCTGATTATGTCATAACATTTCACTCCCTGTTGTTCCCATAGAACTAAGACCTACTTGTCAAACTTATGCTAATAAAATTAAAAATTTGTATATTTTTCATTTTTCAAATCATTGGAAATACCCGCTGAGTTATGAAGAAAATGAAAAACCTTTCAGTGAAGGAGATTTTCTTCATCGGCGAGATCATCTTCAGAGGCGTATTTATAGTGACTGCAGAAAGTGCACACTTTCCAAACACATCTCTGAACATTATCAAGCATGGTTAGCAAAAGGACAATGTAAGACAGTTACTAGCTCGATTCACGAGCACTTGGTGAACTCAAGCCGTGAAGCTACATCAGAGGCTTCTCTCAAGACTATCTACAAGGTGATACTAAATGACACAAATGGTGTTAGGTCTCGACATTTGTGTAAAGCGGAGGCGTTATCGTTTCGTCAATACAACCTCAAACTCTGTATACAAAAAAAGTTTGTTCAGTCTCTTATTCTTCTACCATCGTCTTAACCTCTTCATCAGTTGTTCTCTGTAATTTTAATTTTTTAATTTTATCTTAGTGATTAACTTGCTTCTACTTTAATAATTAATTCACTATTATCACTCTCACATGTTTCTTTTGCACATTTTCTCAACCTCTTCACATTTGTGAAATGGGCACTCAACTACCACCTTTATTCTTACTCAATAACTATTTTAACCTTATCAAATTTCTAACACTTTTTCTTTGTACCTCAATTACTCCATGACGGACCACTATGCATTCTCGGCAAATGTAAATACGAAGATGATTTAGTTTGCTGAATTGTCTTTTATTTTTAATTTTGTTAATACTGTGCATATTTTAGGCTGGCTGCAGCTGAAGAGAAATCTCAAAATTAGATATACACATTTTACACTGCAAATTTTCTTCTTCTTGCTTTGGCAAAGCATTGGTAATTCTTTCACTATACATTTGTTCCTACCGGTCATACTGAATTTGAATGCAAACTGCCTCTAGCATGTTGTAGGACCTCCTGCTCTATGGGAAAATTGTTCTGTGTGCTGAAATGACTTCAGACAATAACTGAATTAAGGAAATGGGAATCGATGAACTTCTGTTTGCCAACTGTTGCTATAAACGTCGTGATATGTATGTAATTCTATCATTACTATTATTATTCCCTTAGGTTCCAAGGTTCCACAATTAATCCTGTTCCTTGCGGTCCACTTCAGCTAGCTTCAAGAACGCCCATAAGCTCTCGTCTCCTTCCCACCTGGTCTCCTCCGTGTCACTCTCCTAGGCTCAACTTGTTGTTTCCCAATCAGGTTCCATATGAAGGCTGTTTGGAGCACAGTATCACTTAACAGTGCTCTCAGCGTGTGTCTTGTCCTTCTCCATTTTGTTCGATATATTTGTTGAGCTATAAGTTCTTGGCTGGTTTGGCGTCTTTTCTGATCATCTGATTTTCAATATGAAGCCGTGGAAGGCAGCTGTTAATGAAAGTCTGTAACAGAAGGTTCAGAATACATCCATGACGTGCTAAGTAACTGAAGCACTGACTAATTTGAAGTCTGTGTTGAAAATCTAAATCTTGTTACTTATCCTGAATGCAGTAAATTTTGACATTGATATGAGAGTAATGAAGACCTACTTCAACTTTCCGACTCCACCTTTGACGTCCTCATCTGTGGCGCCTGGAGTTGAAACAATGCTGGCTAGATGAACCAATAAAGTGATTTCCAGAATGCTTTACAGAATGTCAAAATACCTAAGAACAAACTAGGTATCTCACCAATACAAATTTTTCAAATATGCGGTAATCAACTTCAGAGTGGTAATACAATATTAGTTTGCTTATTGGATATATCACACAGTGAGTGAAACAGTATTATTTACTGAACGACAATGTTTTGAACAAAATTTGTTGTTCATAATCACATCTATTATAACCACACGACTTTGAAACTTTCGTTTTAAAGTTTTCTTTGTTCTTTCCTATCAGTCGTAATAGAAGTGTTAAGATTTTCCAGATGTCCGTTTGGACAGATGTTGAATCATTCCTGTTACACGTGTTTTCTATGGATTCGATAAATAAAGCTTCTGTTACCAATCTCTCGCTTCGCCCTTTTACATTAGATTTTATAACTGTCATCTTACCCCATCCCATTGGATAGTTGTGTGTAATTGCAGGTAGTGACTGGTATAGCTAAACTGTTCTCCAGATTTCTTATCTTATTCGTGTCAACTAATCTAGATTTCGCTAGGATCTGCGCTCCACTAGTCTGACTGACTGCCCCTGTTCTACTACTTTGACTTATGTAATTGACTTGGCAACCGTTACAGCAGTGTATTAGATAAACTAAATTCTTTTGTTTAATTGGCTCCATAGGATTGATCATCTTACCGACAAAGCTAGTTTCTAATTGAGTTTGTGGGTGACTGAATGCGAGCTACTTTTATTCCTGCATTGTTAAGAATTCTCCGTGAGGTTTCTGAGGTTCCTTCTTTGTGTGGAAGTACTATTGATAATAATTTATATTCCCTATTGCTGGTGTTGTCATTATCCTGTGAATGTTTGACACGCTAGTCGTCATTAATATTATCATTATCCCTATCACTACTATTATAACTTTGTTTTTACATTTCCCTACATACTTTCTGACTAATTTATCAAGGTGATTATTACGTTTCAAAGTTTCTCTTATATACCTGACTTCCTATTTTAGATTTTGTGCTCTATTATTTAAACATTTCACCAATTCTATTTTCACTGACATAGGATAGGATGATTGGAAGTCCAAATATCTATTTGAATGTGTGGGTTACCTGTAAACACTAGTGTTTAACTTCTCATTTTCTTTTCTTTTCACGTTACAATCTAACATTGGAAGTTCTCCTTCCTGACTTTCCGATTCACAAGTGAATTGAATTGCCTCCACTTTTGAGTTAATGTGTTCGAAAAATCTATCTATATCCTGTGTTCTATGTACAGCGAATGCTTCATCTACATAACTCCACCATACTTTTGGGGTGGAGTTGAACTTGCCAATCTCTATTTTTTCCCACCTATTCATGAATATATCTGCCACAACCGGGGATATTGGTGACACCATGTCAACCCTTTTAGTTTGTTTGTAGTAATGTGGTAATGTTCTTAAAACTTAAGGCTCTCAAATTCACATCATGCAAATAAACTGACAAAACTAGACTTCACTTGAAGGTCAGAGGGTAATTTATTTCACCAACAACTTAGATATAAACCTTTTCCAAAAACCTCGACTTTATTCTAGATTTTTGGTTTGTTTAACCTTTTAAGGCCCAAATACTAAATCAGTGATCAGTAAATAAAGAAACAATCAATCGTATAGCATAAAATGATCAATATTTAACCCTGTTGGGTCTCACAATAGCTTTCTGTGTTTCAAATTTTGATAACATGTTTATTCAAAAAAACTCTTACCCCTCTCCTCGTAGTCTCTTGGTACTCGTTTGCAATATCATCTTCAGGCATTTCGTAGATAAAAACATGTGCATGTAAGAAGGTGAACATTGTAACAGATAGAAGACAAAGACCAGAACTTAAGCAACCAACTCCAATTGATAATATATCCCTATTAAACAAACGTGAAATACAGAAATAAAGTTGCATTAATCAGTTGTACTGCATAGGCTCGCATAAATGTAAATTATATTAAATGGTTGTGGGCAAACAGTAGGAAGCCGTGGACCTAGGTTTTGGGCTAGTTGGGACTCACTAGTTAGCAGGGGACGTATGCAGTCTTGAAGGAACTCGAGTCCCTTCTGATACCCCAAGTCGTATCATTTAGTGCTGCAATCAGAGATGTAACCAATAAGCTATTCAGCCTCGCAACTGACCTCCTGTAGGATTATGTCGGATACTTTGATTAGATGCTAGATAGCAGTTAGTGTTATGTATCTGGTGCTTTGCTTGGTGCAGACTGAATTCTATTAGTCAAGTTCTCATCTTAGCATTCTTAATATCGTAAAGAAAAGAGAAGCAAAAAGGTTTCGGCTGGAGCTTCAGTAGCCTGGTGAAAAATTAATATTCCCATATTTGAAGGCACAATAGTACCCTCAAGTTACTTTTCTTGATATAATAACTGAAAGTTGTGAAAAAGCTTTATACTGATGAATTCCCGCTACTGATTAAGCGATGTGAGTAGTCGGTAATCTCATATTAGTTTGTTTATTAGATGTATCACACAGTGAAACAGTATTATTTACTGGATAGAAATAGCACTAAGTGGGATAGATACAATAACGGTTGGCGAAGTACAGGTACAATGTGCACTTACATTAAAACGAGAAAAACGTAGAAAGCCTAACCTGACATAACCAGAGATAGAAGCCATGAAACACCTTAAGAATAACAAGGATATAATCCAGTATATAATACTGCTTCACTGCGTGATACATCTAACAAACAAATTATTATGGAATTACTTACTACCACAGCGCCCAAGTTTTATGCATATAATAGTCGGTAATCTATAATGTTAGTTGTTTTAATGCAATATTTATCTCAAGATAACATACAATGAACAAATATATAATTTATAAAAGAGTGAATACTGAACAAAGAATACTATTTTCGATAACCCCTTGTACATCAGGTTTTACAGTTATACATACATTACAGTGAATGAATGAATTAGTGCTAGGAACAACATTAGTGTTTTAATAACATCAAATCAATAGCATCAACATAAAATAGGCTGAATGTCAGAAAAATTAGGAAAGATAATATTACAAATTCATGGATTTATAGTCTCTACTGAAGGTCGACTAGGGCAGCAGTAGCGGTTGGATGAACTTGCCTCTTCTGCGCACAGATCACCGGTTGTTTGACGCGAATCGAGATAGCTTCTGCTATTTGGATTATACGGTGCTTCGATGTGCTTGGCAATTTATTAGGCATCCGGTTGTAAGATAGAGAAGGATTCTACAATGCTGGCTTTGTGGCTCGCCGGTTTGGACCAGGTGGTCTAAAATCGAATTGTTGATGGTTTTCACAACACATTTACTTATCCATGCTAGGAGATGTTCTCGAGCACGAAAAATCAGGTTCCTAGAGCAACTGCCGATATAAGTTGCTCCAAAAGTGCAGTAATTTATCTTTCATTTGAGGAATCACCAATTGTTACTCACGTTAATTCGGATTGCTGTCACCTAGCTTACAAATCATATCGTTTACCTTTCAGGACAGTATTTCTAAAAAATGTATTCGTATCGTCAAAATGACTTCTAACAATGGTGTGTCACTCATCTTACTGAAAAAGACTGCATGCACGAACATCAACATCGAAGAATCATTAAAGACTGGTTCAATAGCTAAGACTCAAATGAGCAAATAGTGCTTGATAACCAATTCAGAGTGATTTGAACTTTAGACATATGTTTCGCTGACTGAGAGCCAGGCCCATCTAGGGTTTATTCTGTCTGACTTACCTTTCTGTGATGAGTGAGGTCCCGAAGGAAATCATAAAGGGATTTCACCTCGAACTGCATAATTTATAGTTTTCAGACTATGAATTTGATCTGAAATCCATACCTAATCGATTCAAACAGGCAGTCCAGATGAATAAATTATGACCTCCGTCAAAAATCATTCCGTCAGTAGAAATATCGCTTTTTTGTCTATGAGTAAAACCAGTCATTTTCAAAGTATTTTTACCCTCATTCTGTATATACTGTACATTATGTTTGTTAAAATTTCCAGTAATGACTACAGTACTGTAATCTGTTTCAAAAAGCATACGAAATTAGATTTTTGCACGAGTCAATTTTCGGGTGATATAACAAGTGAGATAATTACAAGGAAATAAAGAACTTTTAATGCTGGCGAACTACATGTATTATTCTCTACACTACTGATGGTGCTACCTTGACTGAAAGATGAACAATCTAGACTAGACTAGCTACTTCAAACTGTATCTACCGATTCAACTGTGCTTTTGATGGAGATATTTATACTGGCCGTTCTTCTGGGAACTTTATTTTTCGTGCTCTCTAGGGAACATCTCCCACTATGGCTAAATAAATGTGTAGTAAAACCATCAACAGTTCGATATTGGCCCATCTGATGCAAACCGGCCGGCCACAAAGCCAGCCAGCGTAGAAGAATCCTTCTCTATCATCGTCTACCGGGTGTGCCTAATAAGTTGCCGAAATCATCGAAGCACCGCAGGCTCCAAACAGCAGAGGCTTTCTCGATCCGCCTCAAACAACCAGTGGTCTGTGTTCAAAAGAAGCAAGTCCAACCAGCCACTACTACTACCCTGGCTGGCCTTCAGTGGAGACTATAAATTCACGAATCTGTAATATTATCTTTCCTAATCTTTTCTGATATCCAACTTATTTTGTGTTGATGCTATTGAGCTGTAATCTATTAATATTATTGATTGGATGTTATTTAAACAGCGTTAATGTTGTTCCTAGCACTAATTCCTTCATTCACTATAATGTATATATAACTGTAGAGCCTAATGTAGAAGGGGTTATCGAAAAGAGTGTTCTTTGTTCAGTATCCATTTAAAAAAAAATTATAATGGGCATTTTTAATCAGTTAAACTGAATTATCCACAGGCGATTTTCATTAAGGAGGCTAAGATGCCTAAAATTATTAGGGTTGACATTTTGTAATTATTGCGAGACCTGAAAGTTTCTAGATAGACTCTTGGAACAATATGAGTGAGCAGCGTAAAGAAATCACAATGAATTGACGAAAATAATGAAAGAATATTACTACTTTATTGTTTGTGTACAGAAAGGACTTCCTTTTCAAAATTCATTTTAACTTTTAATCTATTTGTCCCGTTATTAATTGTTATCAACAGGAATTTACCTCACATTCTAAACTCACTATTTTCTATTAACAATAAAGTCAGAATTCGAAATAAGGACAACTATCTTTTGATTATGTTTGTATATTTCTTGGAGATTCTCTGAACAACCTTCATCCCTGGAGAAAATGGCATGAAATATGACTCTTTTAGGGTGGCATTTGATATAAGAAAAGATTCGGATTCATTGATCAAACCTGAATAAAAGACGCAATTTATTTTACTTTACAGTCGGACATATTGCCATAGACCAAATTTACCAATTAATAAAAAATGAATCACATGATAAGAAAGTTTAAATTCCAAATCAATAAAAATTATGAGTAAAGATGTAAATGAATAACCAATCATGACAATGGTTGTCAAAACATACAGTTATATCATTCATGAAGTATTCAAGCAGGTTTTTCTTCATATTAAAGCTGGTGGTGAAGATATTGTCTAGAAAGACGATGAAAGCTTTGCAGTTAAATCAACCAGCTCAGAGAATACAAGCAAATTGTCATCCGGTAGACACTATTATCGTTTAAACAATATTTTATAAAGTTTGACCACGAACTGATGTCACTTAAATAACCATTGAAAACCAGCCACAGGGAGTACTGTACAGCAAACTGTTTTATGCTAGTTTGGGAATCATCCAAAGTACGCACCCAATGCCAGAGTTCCAACCCGGGACCTTTTGGTCACAAGGCAAACTCGTAGAACATTCAGCTACTGGGACCCAATTCAACGGCCAGCACATGAATTCTTACTTCTACCAATTCGCGATTTAGCGCGACCACCAACCAATGTCATCGGAAGGACATCCATCCTCGCACTTGACAGGATGGACCTCACTGGTCACGACTTCTCACGAGTACTCCAGGAAACTCTGTTCTGTAGTAATTCACTAGCGAGCATCAGACTAATTTTTGCAAGTTTGACCACAAACCGATATCTGTCAGTTGGTGGTCGTGATCCAGTCTCGAATTAGTAGAAGTTAGGATTTATGTGCTGGCCGTTGAATCGGGTTCAAGTGGCTGAATAGTCTACGAGCTTGCCTTGTAACCGGAAGGTCCCGGGTTCTTCCAATGATTCCTAAACTAGGATGAAACATCTGTCCAGTATTTCCTGTGGCTGGTTTTCAATGGTTCTCTAACTGGTATCAATCCATGGTGAAACTCATAAAAACAAATCTAATCCTCGCAAACCCATTCTTGAAGGTCTTTATATTAAAGATTATTAAACATATGAAAATAATTAGATAGATAAGCGCTTTAATTTATTATTCGATAATCAACAAAAATGCCTAAGACCTTGAATTATCGATTCACAAACACAACGATGACAATGTTTTACAGGTAGCTGTGAAACATAAAGAAGACGTGGTCTCTTACATTCTCTGAGAGATAATTGTATTTTTCTGGAAAATGGTTTTAGGTGTACGCAGTTTAGTTTCACTATGACAAGTAGCATTTCCGGAGGAGCAGATACTGCTGAGCGTCAACTGTCAAATAAAACGAAGCATAAACTTCAAAAGATTATATAGGTCAAACAGCTGTAGTAAACAATATTGTCGATCCACTGTGTAATTGAGTCACTTTTGATCACCGCGTAAACAACTTTAAGTAATTATAAATTTTCAAGTATTGGTTTGTAGGGATTTTGTTTGCTTGGTTGGAGGATTTCATCATGAGCTGACATCGGTTAGAGAGCAATTGGAAAACCAGCTGGGAGTACTGGACAACTTTTTTCATCCTAGTTTA